TGGCTTACAGACAAAAAATATAAATATAAAATGTTTAAAATTTGATTTGTTGGATCCGTTCGACGTTTCACCACGTAGGCATCCTCAGGAGCAACCACCACCGTCATTATCATCATCATCATCATCATCATCATCATCATCATCATCATCATCATCATCATCATCATCATCATCATCATCATCATCATCATCATCATGTGAAGTCGAAAAAACCCCAACAAATAATATATTATGGTGACTTAAGTTTTTCGTTAATTTATGACACTGTATGTTTTTGATAACATCACCATCATCATCATCATCATCATCATCATCATCATCATCATCATCATCATCATTGTTGTAAGTTTGAAAAGAGAAATAAAAAGTATTCCATGGAGACTTGAGCTTTTCGTAAATTTATGACACTATAATCACCATCATCATAAAAAAGTGTTTCAGCCTGTTACACGCACAACAGTTTTAGTAGATCATTCTGTTTGTAACATTTTCCGAGAACCATTTTGATAGATTGTTGTTTGTTTTAGTAGAGGTTTTACGGCGCTCGCGAATACATAAGGTCATGAGCGCCAAGCGGTGGATGTCAACAGAGACGTCCTTACAGGGAATCGGACTTACTCTGCTCACCTCTCTAGCTTCAACAGCACAAGATCTGCTTCAACTATCAAGGCACCCCGGAAAGAGCGGGTCACAAGAGTGTGACAAAAATACAAAAGAAGTAAGGGCAAGATGACGATAGTAAGGATTAGGAAAGAAATAGCAACAGCTCCCTGTTGCAGTTCGGCACAGTTATGAGCATTATATCGTTGAATCAGCCCATTTACAATTCTACTGTGCATAAGATTAAGTTAATGCCCCCCTCCCCTCCCCTTCGGGAATGGCATAAAGACACTTCAGTCAGTGGCACCGCCCCTGGGGGGATTTACGAGATTGGGTGAACTGAAGAGTAACAAAGACAAATAAACCTTTCTGAAGATGTAACGTCAAACCCTACGGAGCGGGGAACCGAACTCACAACTTTTTATTTTTAAGTCCAAACGTTATGCAGTTCAACTTTATATCAGATATTGCAACCGCAGGACGCTCGACGATAAAATAATGTCCCTCAGACTCTTGAGCAAAATGTCGGTGTGAAAAATGGTGAAATGGTATGGGTTTAACGCCTCTATCAACACTATTAGGTTATTTAAGGGGCGAGACCTCCTAGTTTAACGTCCGTCTCCGATAAGACCGAGCCATGTGAGAAGTTCGTGTAAAGTGCCTTTCCCAAGGACAAAACGTCGGACTGAGCTGAGGCTCAAACCCCCGAACCCGCAATCTCACGATTACGAGTCCGGTAGCCTAACCACTAGGCTACCGACGCCACTAATGTCGGTGTATTTAGACAAAGTTTTCCTCATTTCACAAAACTCAGAAACGTCACCGGCGTCTGTGGTGTGACGTCATGGCGCACGCCGTCACAGGCAGAAGACACCTGTTCGAGTGCCGTGTGGAGGGGATTGGTTATCGAGTATCTCGGTCTTTTTGCAGTGACATTATTGCGAAGTGTGCTGACAAAATGAGTTACTTCTCGGATTCAAGCCTTTTATGGAAATAGAAACATCATGCTTATTATAGGTGAAGATTTTACAATAATTTATAAGTATGAAATAATAAGAGGCATGTTATACATAAAGAAGAGAGCAGCAATAGAAAATTTATAGACCCTCGTGTTGAGTTTTGGCAAATATCTCCATTTGTGGATTGCGATAAGAAACCCATTTTGTCGGCACGCCTCATATGTTCCTCTCAGCCCGGGTAGGCCTTGACAGGCAGAGTTGATGGTCCGCCTTCTAAATTATTTGTGAGGCAGCGTGGTGGAATCATGCTCTCGTCATTATTTGGGCATGTAGAGTTATTGGTGTCATCTTAAGGCTTGTTCAGTTGTCTTTATTTTGATGAAAAATCAGTACTCCGAACTTTGGAAAACATGAATTTCGAAAGCCCAGCTTGCATGTCTGTGACTCTAACAATTAACACATTCATGTAGACCTATGGCGTCGACTTGACTTTACAGTGGATACCTGGCCACAGCAGCATCCCGGGAAACGACAGAGCAGACACCCTGGCCAAGAAGGAAGCATCATAAACCCAAACGACAGTCAAGAACATCATCAAATGCAACACCAGGGAACAGTGGCTGAATGGAAGTACAGAGGGCAAAACTGGAAGAGTTGTAATTGCACACATGACCATCATCAGCATTATCATCATCATCATCATCATTACCGACTCAACAATTCCCCTTTCATATAACAATCTGCACCATCACTTTCTTTTTACGTAACCAACAAAAACGGGCACCAAAATCAGGACACGCGGAAAAAAATTAATTAAAAAATTGCACAAATGACTGCTCCCAACTCAAAAAATGCACTATATCCCCTTAGTAGAATAGATCAAGTGACTATCTTTCGTCTGCGAACACAACACATCCCACTGAATTCCTACCTAAATAGGATCCGCAAGGATACCCCACCTGACTGTCCGTTGTGTGACTGCTAGGATGAAACAGTAACAGTACACCAGCTCTTTACCTGCCCTGCACTTGACAGCCTGCGTAGCACCTACCTATGATAGAAATATTTAAATTCTTTGCCACATCGACAGGCCGAAGATCTAGAACCCACCCAGATAGCTGTTGTATCATAAAAGTACAAACTGGGCCCCCTTTCGATGAAAGGAATGATCGGTGCATAAAAATCAACTGAAAGTTATTTTCCTTCTATATTTACACTCAACATGAATGGAGCAATAAATCTTGAGAGAAAAGTGACACATATGCTTTCAAGTTGCCAAATATATAATAGACAAAGGAGTCCAGAAAAAGCGATGATGGGCATCAAACGAAAGGATCACAGTCGAATTTAGCACCAAGTGAAAAAAGAAAACAGGAGGTTGGATCTACACGGGTCGTGCACTTAAAAAAGTGCTCAGAATTGCGCGACAATGCGCGATAGTATCGAACGGAAGTACGACTTGAAATAAACAAAGCTGGTGGATTTTCTAAAATTACAGAGACAGAAGCGTCGGCCTACAAAAGCTATCGGCGAAATAAACAAATTTTGCTTTTTGCAGCAAAACTGCCTCAAAACAGAAAAAAACGAAGCGCGTAATGATCTGGAGAATATTTTTAAAAATCTTTTGGCGAAAACCACATGTCGATCAATGCATCCATTAATAAGCCTTTTTGAATAGCAAAATTCGCCAATACAAATAGAGAATAGAAAGCGAAGTAAACCCGCAGAAATGTCCGACAAAGCAGGACAACGTCCTAAAGATTAAGCACACGAGGGACTGTTCGCATCAATGGGATTGTTTAATTCAAGGCAAATCATCCCCATCATTTATTCAAATATCAGCTGAAGTCGTTTCTGTTTTTAAATTATTAAGATGAATATTTGGAATAATTTTCTTTTTAGTCAGAACACAACGTTTTATGTTACTGTTGTATGTTGTACTGTATTGCAAAGCACTCAGAGTGGGTGGTTGGCGGGTGCTCTGGTGTGATTTGCTCCTTCTTTCGTATCAAACATGTATAATCCTTATCTCCTCTTCTTCTTTTTTATGTTTGTTACCCTCTTGCAACACTTCTAATCTTCTGGCGCTCTTATGACCTTATGCAGTTGTGAGCGCCGTAAAACCTCTATTAAAACTAAAACTAAAAACACTCAGAGCCTGTGTACTTTATTCGGGGTTGAGCGCTATATAAATGTCATTTATTATTTATCATTATTATTATCAAGTGCCATATCTGCGGAACACCTTGGTGAGCATAGTTTGCCAATCAGTGCTTTGCTCGGATGCTCTTAAAAAAGCTACGTTACCCTGATCTTTCCCCGCTCCCCTTCTGTTTAGGCTCTCCAAATAGGTTGCTCTGGGCCTACCCCTGCCTCGTTTGCCTTCAATTTTGCCAGCGACAGCTAGATGTTCAAGATCTTTATGTCTATTCAGGTGTTCCAAAAACTGCATTTGTCTTTTCCTGACCTTTTCCATCAGTAATAATAATAGTAATAAATAGAATTTGTATTGCGCATGTCCCCACTCGAAAGTAGGCTCTATGCGCTTTACACTATATTATTATCCAAGCAGACCATAGAATACCCAGAAACATTCTCATCTTACCGGGAAGCATACAGTGCTAGCAGCTGGTTAAGCGCTCTAACACTAACAAACTGACAAGATCTTTCACTGTCTATAGCTGGGTACCCATTCCTACCCGGGTGAAGTGCGGGAAATTCGTGTAAAGTTCCTTGCCCAAGGACACAACGTCGAGTCCGGTAGCCTAACCACTAGTAAGCGTCCCACGCGGGCTTCCTCAAGTATTATCTCATTTGATTTCTTTTCATTTCCAAGATATAAAGGCAAATAAATAATGATAATGATGACGTGAGCTCAGATCGATGAACGAACATGTGGTGTGTTTGTCGCGATCCCTTCGAGTCGGTTCGTAATTTACTTACATACAACTTAGTTCATCATTCCGTAGGATGCTAATTGTCACCTCATGATAAGCTGCTCAAGAAAAAATCGGTTGTGGTAATGAGCAAACGAGGATGAAGCCAGACGGAATAAAGATTTTTATTTTGAACCTGACAAACGAAGGCATTTATTTACCCCTTTCGAGGGTCAATATAGTCACTACTATGACGGTGACATTTAGATATTTGTAACTCTATGCCGAATGTTTCCTCAAATGATTACAATAATGGTTATAATAGACGTTTACCACTGATTTTCAGCATAATTGAACAAATTCAACCACCCAGTCTTATTAATTAAGTATAATTAAAAATTAAGTAACATAGAAACTATTATAGCAATTATCAATACATTCTTGTTATACAATTTTTAAAAATGTAATCACAATCTTTAACAAAAAAAAGTGTCGTAATGTTAGAGTGCAATGGAAGAACACAAAGACAGAACGATGTAAAATGATCATTCTTTATGTCGTTGATTAAGTCCTGGTTTCCTTTGTTCTGAGTGTATAAATCAAGGTCTGTGCCTGAAATAGGAGAGGAGCCTAGTGCTAAAGTAACTGTGGTGTCGATGTCCCACACGTCTCTCCCACCCAGAATGTCGAGTTCACATTTGTGGGGAAACAACTCAACTTACTCTCTCAACGAGAGCGTGAACTTGCCAATAACCACGCCATCACCTGGGGTACAATATGCACAAATCGTAAGCGACGAGCAGTGGTACATTTTCCAAGTGGTCAACGCGGTGGTCATCGCTGGTCTCCTCAGTCTGTTCGGCGTGGTCTCCAACATCATCAACATTGTGGTGTTTGCCAAGCAAGGCTTTCAGGACAGCATGAACATCAGCCTCATGGGTAAGATGGCAATTATCACATCGACAGTTTCTTATAACTAATGTGTCTTTACAGCAGTTTTGGAATAGAACATAACCCATGTAAGTGTTTGGAAATAATAGACATAAGATTGAATAAATATTGCACACAGCACATTTACATTCTGTCGTAAAGCTGCTCTCCTACTCAAAGCCCAGAAATCATTTTCTATTTATTCAGGGGAGAGGGAAAAATAGTGCCCTTTTTTGAAATTGCACCCTCATTGTGTATCCCTTTTTGGTTTTTTAAGATTTACAATTTGAATGTCAGTAAAGTATTTCTTAAGAACATGCACCGATACCACAGAATAACAAAATGCAATTTTTAAAAAAGATTCAAAATTGTTGGGCTTGGTAATCTGAATCACTATTGGAAATACCTTTCTCTCTCATGTACTCTACACTAGTGAATACTAAACTGTTTGTTTTGTTTTTATTTGTGTTTTTACCGAGGACTACTATACTCATATAGTAGTCCTTGGTTTCTACATAACTATATGAAGTATGTTTTTCCATCCCGTAAACTGTTTATCATTTCAGGGCTCGCTGTGGCTGACCTTTGCTCCCTGGTGACCATGATATGGATAAGCATTTGCATGAACCCACTCTTCTACTTTTCTGACTTGCCCTTTGACTCAACGGATATCTTGTACCTCACGGGGTCCACGCCGCACGTACTCTTTGTCAAAATTGCCACTTTTATCACCGCCTTCATCACCTTCGAACGATGTCTGTGTATCGCTGTCCCTCTGAAGGTGAAGACGATCATCACACCGGGAAGGACAAAGACAATTATTATCTTCATCTACATTACAATACCCGTTTTGATTATCCCCTTCATCCTTGGCCACAGGTTTGAGTGGGTTTTCGATTTCACCAGGAATGCCACTATACTAAGATCTACCTACACGGCTGACAGAGAAATGCTAGAAGCCATTTCGTTTCTCACTCTGGGTGTATTTGGTACGACATTTTCCTTTGTCTTCGTCATCTGCTGTACCATCGTTCTCATCGTCAAACTCAACAGTAAAACAAAATGGCGACAGGCCACTGCAGCCAAGTCTGATCGTGCAGCGGAAGGAGTTGGGGTCAAAGATCAAAAGGTTGTGAAAATGGTGACCTTCATCGCTGTCATTTTCATCGTCTGTGCCGTACCTCCGACACTCTTGTTTTTCTATATGGCGATTGACCCAAGTTTCCGTTTTTTTGGCGTCTATAAAAATCTCTATCTTATCATTTGGACTTCATCATTTCTGACAGAAACTGTCAACTCTAGCGTGAATATATTTGTGTATCTGAAAATGAGTTCGAAATACCGAGCTGTGTTTATGAAAACCTTTTGGAACAAGGAGGAAAAATAACTTTTCAGCTGCAGAGAAGAGGAAAATTATCTACTTGAAAAAGAACGAAGAAATATCAATCCTATAAAATAAGATAAGATAAACTGTATTACGTTTGTTGTCCAGATGCTGGCGCATTGATCATGGTGTTTCTCGACAAAAACACACACACACACACACACACACACACACACACACACACACACACACACACACACACACACACACACAAACACGCAAGAGCGCTCCTATACACACATACTCTCTCTCTCACACATCCTCTCTTCCAAGTACATTACACTTGCCAGTGGCGGTGGGTAGTGAACGGCTCCCGGGCTTGAGCCCCCCCCCCCCCACCTCCCCAATTGTATCCCAAAGTCATGGGAGTTTCTTAACTAAGGAAATAAGCCGTTAAAACCGTTATGATAGCATGCAATGAACGTAGAGTGATCAACTTGACGGTTTGCTCGTTTATCCAATCACTGTTGTCCCCGCTTACAACTATAGTAACCTAACAGCCAATCAAATTTCAGTAGGGTTCAGCCCAGGATGAGCCCATTCCCACGCCACTTTTGTAATGAAACTCTCCTTACAGAAAGTAAAAGACAGGAAAAAATAACACTCTACTGAAGGCTCACGCTCTCCTAGCCCTGACAATGGGATGAAAGTTTACGACACACTTTCCTCCAGTGACACAGATACCTACGCTCTCAATGGACCTTTGTTAGGTACGTCCTACTTTCTGCGACTACACGGCCTAATCCAGCTCATAGACAGAATATGTTTGAAGTGCTGTGTGTGCATGGTTGTGCTTGTGCGCTGAGATTTAACAGTTACAAATCACGTCGATTCCACTTTTATGCCAGCTTTTTCATTCAGAAAAATCTAACTTAAAACAAAGAGATGGAAGACAAAGGTGACCCTTCTCGTTTGGATGGTTCTTAGAATGCCGTGGCTCACGTGATTATAGAGAAATCAGCACTAGTTAGGTCTTATTGCATGTTATTTGGTGGAAATGACTGGATTTGCTGAAGCCCCACCCAAACTTTGGTTCACCCACCGCCACAGACACCTACACAATGGGGGGGGGGGGGTTCTCGTGGTCGAGAGGTTACAGACAGACAGACAGACAGACAGACAAACAGAGAATGTCTTACCTGGCGGTTGTTTCAGTACCTGATACATATATGTACTAATGTCCTGTCTTGTTGTGTGCATGCGTGAGTGTACCTAGCCTTTGTAACGTCTACTGCCATTGTAAACGACCAGGACAAGTTTCTCCCTGCAAGATGAATAAAGATTGTCATTGTCATTGTCATTGTCATTGTCATTAAATTGATATTATCTTCTGCACTAGGATGCGGATTGAAACAAGTAACAAGACTTTCACTACTACTGCTCCCATGACAAGAGTGTATACCCCCCCTCTCCCCCATATGCCCTATTGTTAAGATAGTTCGTTTTGATCTGACTCTGATAAATGAGTTTCCTATATACCTATTTCATCTAGCTTTTCAGATCGGAAAATTTTGAAAATTGCTGATCGTTTCTTGTGATTTTTAAATCCCTGTGCATTTAGTTTTCCTATTTTGAGTGGTTCCTCCTTGGCTTCTTCTGCGGTCTTTCAGCCACACCCATTATGGTAGGTAAGATCTATACCTAGCCTTCTCGGATAAGGGCGAAAAATCTCGGAAGTGCCGTGTGCAAGTTGAGGACGTTAGAGATCCCTTAGTGGTCCAAAATCGATAAGCGTAAGCTTTGGCCGCCATCCCGACAAAAATCAAAATTATTTATCAACTGAAAATGTTTGAACGTGTCCTGTACGCTCATATGACCAAATATAGTTGCGAGTGCCGTAAAAAAAAACTTTTAAAAATTAGTGCAAACTCGAATTACCCGCCATGTCGATGTTCGTTTTCGAAGTCCCACTGTACAAGCATTGTCGTCATCCTGGTCCCTCCATCCTCAATGCTATGAGCGCCGAGATGTTGGCGCCTTATACTTGGGACTCTGAGGCTCCGCCATCTTCCTATTGCTGGACAGCTGTGGTTGCCCTGAGGAATGAAGTTCTTGGCGCGTGGACTGTACCTGGCTACCACGATAACCCTTAGGCCGGTCCCAGAGTGGCACAAAACCGTGCAAATGAATGTATACATTATCGTGTGCTTAAGCAGCGTCGCTGTGTCGTCTGTTTTTTGTCAGCTGAGCTGCGCAATGCGTCAGACGTGCTATTCAACAGTGTTGTAAAAATGGCGGACATGTGTCGCCTCGCTTCGTGTTTATTTTCGACTGAAACTCTTCACAGATCATCAAAATCAACAAGAAGTATTATTAGGTTCTTTACTATTAAATATATTGATGCTAGCATCACCACTCGGCCACATAATCACCAAGAAATGCACTTTATCATACTTTGAAACTTCGAATCGAGAGGTTGACCTAGTTTCGACTGTTGCCGTCGGCCTATGCCTAGATCTAGGTGTGCATCTCTAGCCTTGCATTGTAACCAATGTAAACTATCGCCGCGCGCAGCTGCAAGTGTGTTTGTGTGTGTGTGTGTGTGTGGGTGGGTCTGCACTTGGCACATGACGTAAAGAAGAGTTGTCCCGTCTTGGTATAGTTGTTCTTGGATTACACCGTACCTAAATATAGCAAGGCAGACCCGTCAGTTGCACACCTACACACGTCAATACACAGTGCGGCTGTGCTGACACACAGCGAGTGTGCCTCGCGCTCGCTGAGACACAGGCGCCAACACACAGTGCGGCTGTGCTGACACGCACACGGCGTGCGCCAGGCCAGCTACAGGTCAGACCTACAGAGCCACTCTGGGACCGGCCTTACTGTCTTCGGCGAAACTAGAAATCATCTGCCTCTGCCGACCTTTTCAATGTTTTTTTCCCCTCCTCCCCTTCTCCACTGTTTAAAACTTACTGTTTGAATTTCGATCAGAGTCAGATGGGTGTTCTAAATCCAATGGGCTCACCTCTGACCTGTTGGAGTTACGTGGTTCACATACACGGGTACAGTGTCCACTCAAAGACTCGGTATCATCGTCAGGGATGCTGGGTGGTCGTTGTTGTTGTTGTTGTTAGCGATCCAGTAGCATCTGAGCGTTAACTCTTCTGCATGATGCCATTCGGTAATAGTTGCATGTCTGTTCTAATTGTTGTCTTGAGGAGTAGAGGCAGTAAGATGTGTGGGGTAGCTTGGGAAGAAAACATCCCCTTAAATCAGTTAGTTTTCTACAGAAGAACAGATGATGTTCCACTGTCTCTGAGGGGTAGTCACATAGTGGGCAGGCAGCAGACTGCTTTACTCCATACATGTATTAAGCACGCACTTATCGGAGAGCCCTATGACTGCGGAGAAGGTGCAGAGACCAATTGCGTCTTGCTTGTTGACAACATTTACCCTCTGGGATCTGCCATGCCTTCCCCTGCCCCCATCTCTCGGATGAGTGGACTTGGTTGCTCTGGTAGGAGGGGGGAAATCTAGCTTCCAATGGGTATTATTATTACTATTAGTATTATTATTATTATTATATTATAATTTTTGTATTTCAGCAACACACAGCAACTATGCTCTTAATAGTGTCTTTCTCTTCTTTATCTCCTCAAACAACTTCTCAATATAATACAACAGACACCAACATACCCATTAATTTTTCTTACGATCTCTCTGTGATGGAGTTGGGTTTTTGTTTGTGGCATTGCACCTACAGCCACTGCTTTATCTCCTACCCCGGGATGGAAGGAAAATCACAGAACCACCAGTTTTAAATGCTATTCACAAATGCTGGGTGGTCCTAACTGACGTCATGGGAGGTGACCTCCTCATGGCAAGAGCCCGCATCCGTCGCCACTGACTCCTCGACAGACCTACAGACTATCTGGCACTGAGGATCCCCTCTGCCATGTCCTTCTTTGCCCCACTCAAAACAGGCAAGGACCAGCTTAGACTGCTCTCTGAAGTACAGATTGGCCATAAATGAGCCAACTTGCAGCCTGTTAGAAAGAGGGGGAGACGGCAGATCTATCCATGCAAATCTGCACCCTGTCACTCACTGGTCAGTGTACCCTCCTTGTCCCGGGCTCCCCCCCCCCCCCCCCACAGAAGTTGTGACCGGAACTTGACACCAGCCTTGCGAGGTGACCTTCTAGGTTGGGCTGGTCACGGAGACCTGGAGACCATCATTGGTGAGGCAAGTCGTTGGCACCTCATTGCCCTGGTTGTCCCTGACGACAAGAGGCTTCTGGGATTTTCAAAGAAACTCCGGGGGGTGGGGGGGGGGGGGGGGGCTCTCGTGGTCTAGAGGTTCAGGTGTTCACCTCTCATTCTATAGCTGCCGGGTTCGAATCCGGATAGCGACGGAAATTTTTCTTCTCTAAAATGTTCTCCTTTCACATCCTTTCCAGCTGTCTGACAATGCTGTGTCGTCTGATTTCGTCTCCACTTTCTGCCCCCACCCCTGGACCTCCTTTGCCCCCTCCTTTGGGCTCCGGACTCTTTCTGCAGCCTTTCTACTTTCTATAACCTTATGCAGTTGCGAGCGCCGTAAAACACTTACAAAAAACAACAACAACCACAAAACAACAACCACAAAAAACAACAACAAAACAACAACAACAACAGCAACAACAAAAACTCCCTTACCTCTGAAGGTGAACGCCGCAGAGACAAGTTTCGCCCGGATCGCTGTGTTAGCGGGATGTAGTCGCCAGATTGTCCCCAGATCCTGGCCACCAACAATACCCCCACCCCCCGCACCCGCACCCCACCAGCCGTTCTGACGCCTCATAGATCTCGACGTGGGCGACATCCCCCGGCACTTCCTGCCGCCGTAGAAAAAAACAACAACTAGGGGGGAGGGGTTGGGAGGGAGGGGGGGGGGATATCTCCACGGATTGTAAATGTCAAAAAAACATTGGGGAATGGTAGATAAACTTTTTCCAAACAACGACGAAATAAATAAAAGGATAAAACTAAAATGGCATAAAAAGGAAAGAATGAAATGGGAAAGAATAAAAAAACCGCATACAACAAGTACAAGGGCA